GATGAGATCGGGGGGGGGGGTGGGTAGTTTAGGTACCGGCCAACTAGTTCAAACTATCCGGATATGCGGGGGGTGGGGATTTGGAAGGGAATATAACTTTCGCTACAACTCGCCGAACTTTTCGGGCGATATGTTTATATGTAATAATAATACATAATAATAATATGGTAATAATAGACTGTCCATAGGTCCAGAACGACACATTTATCAGGGAAAGGACTCTCCACAGTGACATCAGAGACACACCAGGATGGTCAACTTACCTAAGCGACTGCCCCGTAGTCCACTATTCTTGTTTTCCAAGGTATCTTTACGTACGCCCAGTAAAAACTGGGTGAACACCTTCGAACCCCATCTTTTATGTTTGATGTTAAAGAATTTTACATGTAAATTTTACACTTACCGTCTAGAGGTTTCGTACAAAAAGAACTCCTTTATCGACTTATACTTTACTTCTTTTACATTAATGTTTCTATACACGTTCTTTTTGGTGGAGGGTGGTCCCAGTCTTTTTTCTGAGGTCGAAACCAACGATTCCATTGGGGCTTCGTGTTATACTATTTCATTCCCTACAGCGGCTAGTGCGAAAAAACGGACGGGGCTAGGGCTAAGCGGCTAGTAAACTAAAACTGTTAAACGGCCTGGCTAAAAAAGGCTAGGCTTAGAAGATCGTTATGTAATTCTCTTTTTTTTCTTTTTTTCCGTAAGTTCAACGGAATTCCATAAAAAAAATAATATTAACCTATAAGAGCGGTTGTACCTATATCGAAAGAAGAAGTGTCGTCCGTAACTGAGTCAAGTCAACACGTCGTAACCTGTTTGTTTTATTTCGAAAGTCATCGAGCAATCGATCGACGATGTTAATCTGGTGACCGCGGGTGAGACAACGCGTCTAAACTCTCTTTTATATCGTTGGTCCAGATACTTTTTGTTCCGGTTTTCTTGTTGTGTATCGTACTACAGACATTAAACTTTGTTTTTGATTCCGGGTCCTACTTCGAAATTCTGAATTTTGTTACCAGTGAAAACAAACATTGTAAACTTATCGGTTTTATTTTTTTCATAAATTTTTATTTATTTTTTATTTTCTTTTGGCTTAGGGCAAAAAAAGAGGGCTAAGGCTAGGAAACTTTAGGTGCACTACGCCGAGGCTAGGCAAGTGACCACTAACCTAGCCCTGTAGAGATATTTATTCGACTTATCATACCTCTTTGTTTCTATTTAGTGGTTAGGGATAAACTTTAGTCTTGACATACGGACATTTGGAAATAGACTGGACAGGGAAGGAACAGAAGGAAGTCTAAATCGTCATTTACGGACGCCGACGAACCGGAAGAAGCTCCTCGGACAGCGACGAGAACTACCGGCAAAATGAGCCTACTAGCGAGACTAGCGAGGAGCTCGTTCCAGGTTCTCCGCGTCCCGTATGCATTTAGATCTTCTTCTGTTTTCCCTTGTCCAGTCTATTCGAATCGTCCTATCGTCAAGACTAAAGTTTATCCTACCACTTAACATAGAAACAAAGAGCGGTAATCGTTTAAGTCGAATATGATTCTCTCAGGGCTAGGTTAGTGCACTTTGCCCAGCCTAGCTCGGCTAAGTGCACTAAAGTTTTTTTTTCTAGCCTTGCCCTCCTTTTTTAGCTTAGCCCTTAAAGAAATAAATAAATAAATAATATTTTATGAAAAAAATTTAAACCATAAGTTGTACAATGCAGTTTCTTCCGTTTTCGGCGTACAATTCGAATTTCAGTAGGGGGACTTCCGAGGAGAAGAGATGACTTTTGAAAAGGGACTGGAATACTGTGAGGGTCTCAGAATAACGGAGATCTTTGCATCAATATGTTCAAAACGTTTTTTTTCAAAATGTAAAAAAGAAATTCTAAAAAGTGAAAAATTAAATATAAAATATTTCTAATGTGAACCAAAATATAATACAAGCCACTCGTGCATCTAAGGGTTAATATAATCGTGTTTCTGTAGGTAGAGATGATATTGGGGCTGTTGTACAGAAAAAAGGAGAGAAACTCCCTCTGGATGGAACACAGGGATTTTATCCTTTGCAGAACATTTACAAAAACCTATATAACACAAAGGAAAGGGAAAACCCACAAAACACAATAGGGATTCTTAAAGATGTCAAGCCATAATCTGTACCAGAAGAAGATTTTATTCACTGAACTCCATCCATTTCACTTTTATGATCCCGTCCTCACCTTGGAGCGTTTGTTGGGAGTGTAAGCTTTAGCGTTGGCGAAGATCAGCCTTATGTCTTTGCACAGCTCTGTGGGGTTTTCATAGCGGTCCTCCCCCAGTGTCCTCCTCACGGTGCTGAAGTCCATGGGTGTGTCAATGATGTTCAGGTAGTCCTGGAAAAGCACATGGTTAAGACACTTGAAACATAACCTGCTGACGTCACTATGATTGTTGTTTTTGTGCGTAAACGTACTGGGTAGTTCTGAGGATTCACAGGCTGTCTGAAGGGCTCCGAGTCCTCGCACTCAAATATGTAGTTGAGGAGATTCTTGCACTTCCTCTTCCAGGCGTCTCTGTCCGGCACCACCTCTACAGAGCGCTGCAAACAGCATGAGGACAGAGAGAGAGAGAAACATCAGGACGTGAAACACATCCCAGCTGGATCAGTCCAGGTCTCAGTCTATAGGCTCGTCTCAATTGAATATTTCACCTCCTCCTTTCCCTCACTCACGTCCCTGGATTGCGTCTTAGCTCCGCCTCCGTAAGATGTGAGCGAGAGACACGAGGAGGAGACGCGAGGAGTCCTCAGGTATTAATTGGGATGGGATTGATTGTTTTGTCAAAAAGCAAACAAACATGTCGCTGATGACGATGACCTAATATTTTATTTATAAGAAAAATATATGCTAGAGGGGGTAGGACCAGAAAAGTTTTTTTACCCGGCGGAGCTTCCTTAAAACCCGGGGGTACCTTTTCTATAGTGTACACCACATCGAATCTTGTAAAAAAGGAATACCAAGATATTTATCAAACCCGGGGACAGGTCAGTGCCCGGGAATCCTTACGCAGGATTGGAAAGTGGGGGAATGCCCGCGGGGACTGACTGCACCTTTCACAAAGTGATGAAGCGCATATTTTCGGGCGGGGTGGAAGGTGTCGACCAGCTAAAGTGTCTCCTTTTCGTCTCTTGCCTTCTTCTCAGCCTTTTGGCAGGGTATTTACTGATTCACGACGTGGTGAGGCACTTTAAGTAAAGAGTCCAATTTGATGTTCGATTCAGTACAATTAACTAGACCTTGCAGTGTTTGTATCGATTAATTTCTTTCGTAAGTTATCTTACCGATCTAGAACTATGTATTCGTATAAAACTACAAAAACATTTTATAGTCCTCAATTTAATAAATTTTACGGTCGATTGGTGAGACTTACACCCCTTGTGGTTTTTCCTCGTGTGTACAAGGTCTCATTTTTTTTGTTTTGTGTATGATATCTAATATAAAGCATTTCTTTTACATGTAAAATTTGTTGTGTAGGTTGTGTGTGTAATGTCTTAAGTATTTAGTAAAATTTATTTATTTTGTTTTACCCTTGGCCAAATTTCCAATAAGTATTCCCCGGGGGACTCTCCCCTATGTCGAACGTTGTACCAGTAGTATTTCTGCAGCAAACTCACTTCGCTCTTTAAAAAAAATCAGTCAAAATCAACTTTGTAACAGGTCTTTTGTTTTTGATCGTTGTTATTATTATATATTGGAAATAAAAAGGAAAAGAAGGTGAGTTTCAATTATTAATTTGTTTCATTTTTTTTATTTTATGTTATTGTTTTTTTTTTGTATTTAAGACGGTTTTATCAGAGACAGTACAAGTTGGTTCCCCGTTCT